CAGCTTAAACCAATAGTTTTTCTTTGATTGAACGAAGTTCGTCAAATATATTCCCATGCTATTTAGACATGGAATTCAAACCTCCTTTCAATGCTTAAATGTCCTTTTTAGATTGAGTGTTATCGTTCAATAATAATGATAGGTCAACATAATTATAATCTACATGTGGTAGCCTCGACAGGTCTTTAGCTACAAAACACAGAATATAATCCGGGTGGTTTAGTCTTTTCCACAAAACGAAACGAAACCCTAACCTTAAATTTTGAACGCGTTCAAATATCACTACGTCACAGAAATAAATTTGTCGAGAATATTTAGTTTCCACCTCTTTTCCGCATACTTTTCAGCTTAATTCATTTGTGCTGACATGACGTGACAGCCATTTTGGAATTGTTGAACACTGATGACGCTATTCAATTCGTTTTTCATAGTGTACATTTTCTCAGATATTATTAGGCCAATGGAAAAAATGCCAGTTTGGAAAAGACTAAGCCGATCCGGGTCGATCTCTTGCAACAGAACCAAAATATCTTGTACATTATTCATAGATTTGTTATGCCCTTGTCGGCGAATCAGACGTTTTGTGCTATGCTCACTACACAGATCAAACAACAATAACTTAGCGTACTCGATTTCCGAGTCCGTATAGAAATCAGTTCACAGTTTAGTAATAATATCCATAGCAGGAATAACCATCTTATTTGCAATAGAACACAGAATTTCGCTAAGGATTGGAACAGATGTGGGAGATGCTTCATTATTTTGTGACTTACGGTTAGGGTACGTGAAACCTACGTAGCCATTGTCACTGTCAATGCCATCACCCATTCGTGCATGTCGACCAAACCGTTTTTTTTTGCTTGAAAACATAAATCCAGGTCGCCTTGACTAAAAGTGACATCAGTAGTTGAAACACAATCATTACATCTAGTCTTGCTCATATTTGGAGTATATCTCCAACAACATAACAAATATCGTACGTAATATAGATTCTTATTCTCAAATGTTGAGGTTGGTTAAAATACTAAATGTAAATTCTTAAAGAGCATTTTATAGTAATTGTTGGACAATGCACATTTTCAACAAACTGAGGCGATGTCACACCCAAATTCTCCGGTCACTACATAATCTTTTGGTTTACTTTCTATCAAAATCAGGGTTATATACATATACATAGCTCCAGAACACTTACCGATAACTTCCGCTGCATGCCTACCCCAAACCAGCGAACCAAGTGTGGGCAAAATATTAACTACAACGTCTTGCTGGATAAAACCCATGAACTGAACGGCGATTCGGACAAATGGCGTTGTTTATTCCATAATTGACTAATTTCCATGTTCGTAGTAACATATTGCATGTGTACATAGACCAGAGTGCATTGCGAAGTATCGAATTTAAATTATTTTTTGGCAAAAAAAAATCCTATTTTTTAAACCAAAAGGCGCCCTCAACGTCTAAAACTGACACTGGGCTGAGTCATGACGCCTAACTTCTCCCTGAGATCGCCGGGGTTTGCATGGAACCAACTTCACGGTGGACATTGCGATCAGTATACAACATATCATGAAGGTAACAAAAATATATTGACCTTCAACGTGAATTAGACGTCACCAAAATGAGTGAATAATTAGAATATCATCCCTCGATATTCTTGACAACATGACTACCGACCACGACTTCAACGCGCTACTTCCTATTGGGATAAACACTTTCTTGGGTACTGAATGAATTTAAGAATTGACAGCTCTGGATTCGAGCGAAGGTTTCATAATCCGGGCAATGAAACGAAAATTAATTGATTATTAAAAGATAAAAAAATAATTCCTAATTTAAAACAAATATTTTTTTAAAAAAAGAATTGAAAAGATTGACATTGCGTTCTTTGTGGTCAAAATTTTGCCACCGATTTGTTGATTTGCGATTCGACACTTGTAATGTGAATATGATACTTTTATGTTGATGGTAGGACCTTACCAAAATTGAAATTTATTGGAGTAATTGTAATTTTTTTGAGGAACTCCATTAGAAGGAAAATAAGATTGTTTCATTGATTTGGCAAACATTCCTATTTTTTCTGACCTTGTTCTCTAAGTTTGCAGCTGATAGAAGCAGTTGCGGGCGAGTGAAGTGAACTGGTTTTGTCAAGTTTGTGAAACTACTGTACGCGCGTGAGGCTACTTGAAAGTCAAGGGGACCTACACTTCGTCGCTACAGTTGTGAGGGTTTCGCCGCTACTTTGACGTAATCGACACCACCACATCAATGAGGGACTCGCCGATAACGTAAAGAACTTGAAGATCAGGTTTGATACTCGTTATCGACTAACAAAACTTAACTTTGTGCAAACTGTCATACGATTTCGAACCGTGAACAGTTCCGTTACTCACATGTACACGCGCGACTGTATGGTATTTAATCTTTGCGCTTGGAGGGACATTTTTGGTTTGGCTTATTGTTAAAGTTAGCAATTTCGTGTGTTGTGCCCTACAAGACAGCCAAGATTGTGTGTGTCTGTGTGATGTTCGTCTGAAGTGAATATTAATTAGAGGTTACATGTAAACAGTTAACTAGGGTTAGGGCTTTTATTGTTAGTATATTCATGGCATGTATAGTTTTATCAGACTGTACGTTGTACAAAAGTTCAGGCAGGATTTTATTGACTTGTTGTACCGATTAACTGTTGTTGTATTCATCAAACGAGACTTTTCATACTACTATGGTTATTGTTGTATTTCCGCTACATGTATACTGTCGGACATTGTGTATTTTACTATTAAGTCCTACAACTTTAATAATTATTGTGATGAACATTGCTGTTAATTATGTTAACCGTAAGTAATTATTATTGTGCGTATTACTGCCAATTCATGTAACTATAGTGTTTATTATCATACTATATTGTTAGTTTATATTTCATTGAGCGAGGTGCCTATTATTGTGTTATGTACGAATAATTATGTGTGCCCACTGTTGATTTTGATTCGCCTTTATAAATATTGAATAGATGTTGTTGTTTACTTGACCTGTCCGAGTCATTAATTAATGGTGTTATAGTATTTGATGTACGTCGTTACCTAGATTTACCACTGGCTGTCGAACTGTCTCGATCGGAGTAAGAGATCCCTGGTTGTTAATGCAGAGATACCAGTTAATTGCCCTTCATATAAATTGTCCCTATCTGTCCACCTGTGATTTGAGCTTATCTAGTTTTAGGCAACTTATGGGTGTGACATATGTATAAAACATTCTTCACTGATCGGAAACAGTTTATGTTTTCTGTTTTATTGAATTTATTAGAGTGGTTATTACTTTTTTTGAGGGACTTTCAATTCCATTAGATGGAAAATAAGATTGTTTCACTGGTTTGGCATACATCCCTATTTTTTTCTGACCATGTACTCTTAAGTTTGCAGCAAGCTGTCCGATTTCTATGCAGGTAATGTTTCCTTACTTTTTTTTTGTTTACCCTCAGCTAAAAATGTTCTCTCTACTGATTTGTTCTTGGCGTTTTGTCAACAGCGTTAACACCTACAGCGATGGACTATGGGACCATTTTTACCACAGAGGCAACTTCAACATAATAAAATGTATTGAACTAAGGAAATAGAAGTAGAAAATCACAATTGTTTGGAATGATACTTACCCAGATATTACGTAACATTGTCCGCGCCCAATTTCAGCTGCAATTTGTTTCATATATGTGTAGGTGGCGATAGATTAGTGAATTTATGAGTGTGTTTATAGGTGGACAATTGCATCTAGAAAGGTGAGTACAAATGCCATATTACATGTACATAATGTCAGCATTATGTGATTCACTTACACTCGTATGAACCACCTTCGATATTTAACGGAAAATCACACATGAGAATTGAGATCATGTTAACACGCAATCTGTAAAGTATAGGACTACCCTGATCATATACTAGGCATGTAGTCGACTCCATTCCGTAAACTCAAATTTTAAAATCATATTCTAGATGAAAATTGAACTTATATTTTTTAAATGGAGATCATTTACAAATATGTATGAAACACATTTCTGGAAACAGTTTTTTATTTTTATATTTTTGTTTATTTTTATGAAGGATTATTCAAATGTCTGAAAATACGCAGGTTGATTCAACTGGTGTTGTAGATCGGATATTTAGTCGATACATCATAAGCAGGCTAGTGTTTTACGCGACCACAATACCATTTTCATCGATCTTGCTCATAATATTCAAATACAATGTTGCAGTTTGATGATATTCTCAAGTATTTGGGAGAGTTTGGGATTTATCAGAAACGTGTATGCTATCTAATTTGTATTATTTACATATTGACAGGATTTCATGCGTTTGCCCAAGTATTCTTAGCAGCTGAGACTGACCATTGGTGCTATATTCCAGAGTTGGATAAAGATGAAGAAGATTGCAATCTGAATAACACAGTAATGTTTTGCCAAAATATGATGAAGAACCACAGTATACCATCGGTGGAAAGCTCAAGTCAGTGTGGTAGTGGTTTGGTTTACAGTAATTGTGAACGCTATGAAAACCTGTCATACTCCAACAAAATTATGAAATGTAATCATGGGTGGAAATATGAACGATCACAGTACAAATCTTCGATATTTCAGGAGGTATTTTTTTTGCTTTTTTTCAAAAAAATTCAATATACTATTTTTATGTTATTGTAAACTCGTTTTGTATTACTAAGAACGTCGAAATATGGTTAAATGCACCGGACTGCATGATTTGCTTTAAACTGAAATGAGAACATACAGTATAAACAGTCAGTCGCGAAACCTGACAAAACAAACGCATCCAGTGATATATTTCGAGAATAAAAACAAAAAACGCAATCTAAGGTATGGCAATATTATTAAAAATAAATTTATTTTTTAATATGAATTGAACAAAAAAAAATGGTGTCCGAATAGTTAAATAGGACATTTTAGAACAGAAATACGTTTGATGAAATAAAATATGGATTTTAGAAAACAAAATAATAATTTATGAAATGTAGAATAGAATTCACACACAGAAATTGCGTTCCCTGGAATAAATTAATGATTTCACAAAAGTAAATCTCGTTTTATTAAATGAAATAAGGAATTTACAAACATAAATTGCGTTTTATGGAATGAAAAATGGATTTTACAAAAGTAAATCGAGTTTTATAGAATGAAATAAAAAATTCAGAAACATAAATCGCGTTTTATAAGAATAAAATATGGATTTTAAAAAAGAAATTTATATATAATAATATTGCAGCAGTTGGCTTGCCATAGCCGACCACGCGCATTGGGAATAAGTAGAACGCAATGGACCCCGAGTCTCACTGCCCGGTCTTTCACTCAAACAAACGCACCCACGCGGGATTATAATAATGCTATTCCCGGCACACTTAATTTATTGAATGCGTTGGCAAAGAAAAAAAACACCGCAAACAAATGAAAGTTTGTATTAACACAACAGTCAATATATTGTTATTGATCATTAGATTAGGGATTCAATGTGGCATCAATATGATGCGAACTGCGGTGGTGGATAATATCAGCCAGAGATGTGAGAAAATGAACGCTTTATTCAACCCCAAAGTGTTCAGAGATATGTCTAGAAAATTGTATCGAAATTGCCACATGAGAAGTGGTCACATGAAAGCAAAGTATAGCAGTGATGGGTGCGACAGCGTAGTGGTTTGTGATGAATTGGATCCGCATTCCGACAGCAAGTAAGAGCTTACGGATTAGTATAGCCAACCTCGAGCAGGCGGCAGAAAGTTCATTGAAGAAATTGCGAACTGCATTAGACGTGAAGCAAAAAGTGTCTGATTCTTTGATGAATACTTTCGAAAGCCGATATATTCAGAAAAAATATAATAAAAATGGTCTAGTCCGCTAAATTATCTTTAATGAAGATACAGCTATTCTACGTTATCACCACAGCTGCACTGTCTATTGACACAACGATGCCGTGCTTTTTTGTATAACTGTTAATTGTACGTAAATTAAGACAATTTGTGTAGTTTTTTTATTTGTTCTGCAGATATCGGTAAAACATGGCGACTTTTGAAAGAGCGACTAATATTCTTCAAGCTGGTATTTTTTATAAATTTTATTCTTCATTCTTTTTGTCTTTTTTCTAGTTTAAAAAATGTGAGCTGGCTGGAGCCTTCATCCATTGTCTACTCCTTACACTCGATACCAGCCACACCCCTCGCTGATAGACAGTGTACATTTGATTACAGTTGCTGGACTCCCTGTGCTATTCAGTTTAGAACCTATGTTGTTGTGTTTTGGTTTCTAAACATCACCTTTTTTTTGATTGACATTCAACGAGATCGTTACCGTTGTCCCACGCAGACCCAAGTTTGAACTTTGATTATCACTCGTTAAAACTCATTCACTTTCACAGTGATCAATGTTGCGTTCGTTTTGCGTTAATTTAAAACCTGGAATAGCATAATTATAATCATGTGTGAGCGCGTTTGCGCGAGTGAAAGGAACAGGTGAAACTCGTAGTCGCAACCTGTTCTACTTATTTTTAACTCTACACCAGTTGAACAGAAATACGTTTGACCCATCTTTCACAGTCTCTTCATGTTGTTCTGATAGCGGACACTCCGTGGCCATCGCATATAAAGCGAGAATAATCAAGATGAAATTTCGCATAACTCAATAGCAGTGCGCATCGTATGCGATTAATGAATATCAAAACGATGAAAGAAGTAAAGGATGCCACGTGATCCGTAAAATAGCTGATTCGTAGTTAATATTTGGTGGCCGGTATTCGTCACGCCTTCTACTGCTTCTACTGCATGCGCATTTACATTGATAACATCCAGGATACTCAAAGGAGTGAAGCATGAGTTAAGTGACATAATATCGATTATTCTCGAATGGTCACGGATTAAGGACACTCTTAGCTCTTCCTTTTTGCACGCTGCTTGTTCCTTGAACACGTGGTGTTTTCAGCTATTGTGCCATTCAGATTAAACACACCAATTTCAACTTGTATCATTGAGCAGAGGTCGTGCAAAAACAGGTTAGGGTAATTCACGAATCAAGGAAGCGATGACGAATGTTGGTCCACAAATGATGAAATAAATATATTATCTCTCCAACTTATATTAAATAACTAACGCATCTAAATTGTAACTTTATTCCTTCACACAGATTATTATTCGGATTAGTGTGTAGCATTTTTAATCGCTCATCGTAAATCCACGGATTCATTCAGTTGGACTGCGTGTTGGTCCGGAAGTGGAGTCTTCGAGTTTTGTCTTTCATAGTAACATATTACATGTGTACAGAGGCGAGATGTCTACACAACCGGAAGTTCATTGCGTAGTATAGAAGCCACTAGTTTACTAGCGATCACTTCGATTTCGTCTTCTTTATACAATGTGCCATTGCGCAAGCAAAACTGGTGTATAACCCCCCTCCCCAACACAATTCACACAGTGAAAGAACTAACGCAATTGCGGACTTGTTAAAAATTAATTAAATTTCAGGTTTGCAATTTTATCAAATGTAAAAATCATAAATAGGAAAACGTGCAGATCAACGTTCATTTAAAGAGGATGCTCGTTAATAGACACAATTAAGTACGGTGGTGAGAAAAGACATTGAATTTTAAAATGTGGTTTCAGAAATTGTTATTCAAAAACATAATGTTTGGGAAAACGTTTTTCATGTAATGGCTCGTGTCATGAAACTCTAACTGAGCATTCTCGATACTTAAACATTACTGCCGACCACGACTTGAACGCACCACTTTCTAATAGAAAAACACAGTCACGGGAATGTATGAAATTATGATTTGACAATAAAAGCGAAAAAGGATATGGACTAAAAACTATCAAGTCGACTAGGAAAGATTTTTCAAAAGAAAATGACATTGGCCATTCCGTTCCTTGTGATAACAATTTCGTCGCCGATTCGTTGATTGGCAATTTGTGGTGTGTAATGACCATTCAAAAATTGAAAGTACAGGAGTGGCTGTATCGGCTGAATGTCATTTTCAACTCTGGCAAATGCTCGGGAGTGATGCGCAGTGGAATAATACATGAAAAAGAAATCGGTCTACTAATACACTTTTGTTGGCGGTGCATGCGCTGACAAGAAACTTAATTTGTTCCAGACCTCAGACCTTGAATTTAAAAAATGTAAAAACAGTGAGTGACACACTCACTTACATTTCATTGAACCTTAGTACGGTTACTGGCAGTTTTAATATGAACCAAAACCATCTGAAACCAGTAAGCTACTTCCACAACTGCGAATTTATTATTTGTCCTTGTCTACTCACAGAATATACGGAGTGTCCTAGAAGTGTCTTGTTTCATTTTGTTTCAGTTTGATTTGGTGTGCGATCGCTATTCCCTTGGCGCGTTATCCTCATCTATGTTCCAGGTGGGAATGCTTGCTGGTGGAATAATTTTGGGTTTTCTATCTGACAGGTAATTATAGCTACAGCGACTAACAACACCTAGCTTAATATCACATTTGAGGGGATATTCGCGAAAAAATGAGAATTGAAGATATGTTACAAAACGGAGAAATCTTAATTTTTAAGAAGCCAAACGTCCAATTGTTAACATATACGAATAACTCTATTATGTCATTTTAAATGTGGGAGAAATCTAAAGATTTGATCTGATAACTAGGAAAATGTCAATATTCAACCGGAAGCATAAATGTATTTAAGCTAGCTTGCCTAGAACTAGACATGTATGCATATAAGTAAGATGACACGGCATCCCCTTGGCCAACAGCTTTCATTCAAATTCCACAACTAATGACTTAGGATATATGACGATATAACATTATTTTCTTTACTTATTGAGACTAGAACAATAATCACCAAAAGCTCGCTACGTCACAATAACAAACTCAATATGTTTTTGTTTATCATTGGTCGATGGATTATCCGTCAATATAAAAATGTAAGTATTTATTTTGACACTTATTGTTTCTTCGTCTTGCAGAATTGGTCGTAAACCATCAATGATGTTATCATTACTGTGTATGGCGGTAGGAAGCTCAGCATGCGCGTTTTCTCCAAATATTATCGTATATTCCATTTTTAGACTGATTGTTGGCAGTGGTGTGATGGGCATATGGCTCGCCGCCTTCGTGCTGCGTAAGAGCAAATATATTTACAGTGTAGATCGTGGTGTTAACTTATTTTTAAAGTAAGGTGGATGGTACAAATCTGCAAAATCACACACATAAACATATGATAATTGAAGCAATCAATCTAGTATTTTTTTTACCACCAGACTGAGTTTGTCTTAATCCTACAAAAACATTAGTTATATTTTTGTAAAGTGTAAATTGTACACCTATCTCATAATGAAATCATCTAGTGAACTCATAACTATGCATCGTTTTGATGACTTTTAAATTTACAGTTACAGAACTTGTTGGTCCATCAAAAAGAGTGTTCACTGGAACTCTTGTCGCTTTTTTCATAAGCTTTGGATATATGATTTTAGCTGGATTAGCATACTTTATCAGATACTGGTGGATACTACAGTTATGTATATCAATACCAGCGGCTGTATTCTTATCATATTGGTGGTAATTATAGTGACATATACATATTGAAAATTCTGAATAGGATATACTATTTATTTATATTATTGCCTTCTAGCACAATATGCACGGCGAGTTTGTTATTGGATGCAGGGTTTGTTTGAACTGGCGGAACAATTATCGATCGTACGGGATAAATGAGTTTGTTTTATGAAATATTGTTAGTGGTAGGAGAATGAGTAAAGTACAGATTATTGCTTTCGTATCATTTTCTAACAGAGCATTCTGTATATGTTGATGGTCGGGTTCCCAAAATAAATTTCACATATTTCTTTACTCAGGATCCTACCAGAGTCTCCAAGATGGCTACTTTCAGTTGGCAAAAGGAAACAAGCAGAAAGAGTCATCAGAGACTGTGCTAAAGTTAACAAAGTCACAGTTCCCGATAGTGTGTTTGAATGTGTTGGCAATTCAAAGGAAGGGGTTAGTCTTTACTATTTATATTCAAATTGTCCAGTATGTGGCATGTAATCTAAAAAGCATAGATATGTTACATGTACTGCGAGGAATCCCAGCATAATTCAAGATGACAATACAAGTGACAATACTCCTATCTATAGCTATGGCTAAGTGGGAAAATTTTCATTTCCACCACGACCGCACCATCAGTGTAAGAAGCTCTCTTTCTTAAACTCAGAAACCTCAATATCTGAGAGTATCTAGCAATGCAACAGCTAATCAATCGTTGTTATGACTGTTAAATGACTAGTTTTACTCGAATACCTGTGTATCATGTCATGCAATAACTAATTGTCATTTACTGCAAGTATTTATTCTGAACAGAATAAAGAAGACACAGGAAACGTGTTTGATCTATTTCGCTTGCCAAATATGAGGAAGAAAACTCTCACCATCTGCTACACTTGGTAAGAAGAAATGTACACAACTTCTGTCACACTATTAAACCAAAGTTTACATTAATATAACTAGGTAATTTATCGAATGCTAAAGTATTCACTTCTGGATTATACATATGACGCGATATTTTTCGAATTGCACGAAATTGTTTTGCTAAATTACGAAACAATCTTGTCGACCACAGTTTTAAACATTAAATATTTTGCAAAAATGAGTGATCAAGCAGGTTACTACAAGCTGATCACATTGATAGGGAAGGTGGAAGTGAACAGGATGTTATCTCCGGATTTAAAGCAATCTGATATAAGCTCTTATGTTCTGCATAACATACATTTTATTTTTTTTAACTATCACGTTTGTGGTGTTCGAGATATCACTTGTAAATGTACCAACAGAAAACAAATATCAACGGGGTCAAAATCTTCCATCGATGTAGAACACTGCAGTGAAAAAAGGAAAAATCTGGTTTTGATATCATAGTTGCTCGTATAATAAATAATACATGAAATGTAGTTGATGAACTGGGACGCTTCATGATACGATTCGTTGTTGACTCAGTAATTGAGTTGAATATAATTACCGACATATACAATACACATATTAAGTAATAATAAATAAGTGCATTATATAATTGATTTCCAATACCAGGTTTAATTAAATGTTGATTATATCTTATTCTATCGAATTATCCTTAGCGAGAAGGTATTTTGTTAGAATTATGAACACATTTAATGAATGTTTTTTTCCATATTTTAACAGGTTCACTGTAAGCATGGTGTACTATGGTATATCGTTAAACACCTCGAATCTTGCAGGCGACGACTATTTGAACGCTTTTCTATCGGGCGCAGTAGAAGTGCCAGCTTATATTCTAGCTATATTACTACCTGAAACAAGACTTGGGCGTCGTTGGTCTCAGTCATTGATGTTTATACTTGGAGGATTGGCATGTATACTTACTCTCTTCGCACCTACATGTAAGTATAGATGTTACAAGCATTTAGTAGTGTTCACGCTACACGAAGATTTATGCTAATTTGATATGTTTGCATATCGGATAGACCTAATTGCATTCATGCACGGGAGAAAACATTGGTAGGTACTGGCTAGGCTGTTAAGAATATACACAAATCTTCAGTCATTTTAACTATGAATACGCAGTACAGTAACCAAGAAGCCATACATGCTAGTTCTTCGGTTCTAAAACAATACCAAAACAAATTCAGAAAGTGCAGATTGCAGAATAATAGAAAATGCCACGTAGTCTCATCGTCTGTTTATATATTTTTCTCGAGAACAATGTCCGTAGATGTGCTCGCGTTGATTTTCATGTTGGAAATTGTATGCCGAAATGAATAACTATGAATGTAATAGTAAATTGCCCTAAAGAACATTGAATACAGTGGTGTTTTGGGCGCTTAGTCCAAGCTAAGCGCGCGCGTTCACGCGCACTTCGTCAGCTCGTGTAAGGTTCTGGACCGGGTCCCCTTGGTGTTTCCATGGAGATAAAACAAATTTTAACCTTCACGGTGTTTCCTATCTTGCTAATCCCACGACATCTGGATCACGTTATGTTTATATTTGTTATATCGCGTATTTGCATTGTTATAACCGTGACAACTTTAACCAGTTTGTTATTACTTGAATGACGTATAATGCTGAATCAACAAATCAGATTCGTACTTATCGTATTTTCCAGGCACTGTGGAATGGATTAGTGTTGCTTTGGTGATGACTGGAAAATGTGCTGTTTCAGCTGCCTACGCCATAGTGTATGTCTTCTCTGCTGAAATATACCCAACCCCAGTCAGGTACAGCACATTGCGCATTAATTCATGATATTTGTAGAGATTAAATAAATGCGTAAATATAGCTAAAACTTGTGCATCTCCTTATATTCCCAGAACTACTGGACTGGCCCTATCCTCGCTTTGTGCCAGAGGGGGTGGAATTCTAGCGCCACAACTGTTATTGATCAGAGTATTTTGGGAGCCATTACCACTCATCATATTCGGAGCAACGTCCATTTTGGCTGGATTGCTTACATTATTGTTACCGGAAACACGTCATCAGAAACTCTCAGAGACGCTTCTGGATGGTGAAATGTTTGGAAAGTAAGTTTTATTACAGTAGATAAATGCTATTTGAATTATTAATAGCTCGTATTCATGTGGGTAACATTTTGAGCAGAGCACATTCTTAATTACCAACTACATGGTATTCATGTCACAATTATAGTGATATTTGGAGCAGATGTTGAAAAGCTTTATATAAATACATACCATGAAAATATCTCATACTGACAATCTGTCACCATATAAAGGTGCGTTTCACAGCAAGAACAACATTTGAACATGTCATCAGTCACTTCTGCTGCGTACTTTGACCGATTTCATTAAATCTTGGGATTGGCGTACTGAGCGACTGATGGACCTTCATTTCTTCAAGTGTTCTATCTGTTTCTAAACTCGTACACGAATCTCGTGAAGAGCTTGTGCACATTTTCGTCGTTCAGCTATCGCAAATCTGTTCAAGTATTCACGTCCTTTAATATCATTCCTACGGGGTGTTTGTCTGTTTTCATAACACTGTCTGCTTGCTGTTGCTATTAGTACCTTAAACATGTGTAAATTTGTGACCATTGCTTTATGTGAATATATTTCAAATATTGGACCTGATATGGTATGTAATTGCAACCTTTTATTACTAGTGATAACACCTTAACGGATCAAAACGACTACTAGACGTAGTCACCATTGTTGGTTACAGTGAGTGCAACTCGATAGGCACAGCGTGATTATTACAATAATGCAATTATGTTTACATTTTATTTTGAAAACTGTTGCCATACGTCAGCCAGGCACTGGGCAGGGTATCTGGGAAAAGTTAAAGCGTTGGTTTCGAAAACATTTACACATTTACCTTAGCTTGGTCATAAATACACTCTGGTTTCTACTATCCCCCTCCGACATAGTCACGTTGTATCACGATTTTGCAGAGTGGACACCGCAAGCGTGTGTTTTTTGAAAGGGCGCAAGGGTTATTTTCGTTCAACGTAATTGCAATATTTTTTGTTCGTACAACGTCAATTGAAAAAATAAATTCCGTAATTCTGTAATCATAGGCTAGACGTACAACGTAATCAATCAAATATGTTTTTCGTACACTGTGAAAATGTGTCATTTTCTGGGTACGTACAAAAATTTACATCAAAATAAAAAAATGTTGTAAAGAATAATACAGGGAAATTACATTCTCGAAACTGTAAAACGACTAGATGACACAATTCACTGCAAAATTCAATTTTCACTGTAAAAACGTCTTTTTTTCCTTGTAAATTGTAAAAATCCCTTTTTATTTCCCGTAAAACTGTACCAGCTACCCCCTTCTCCCTCCTCTTTTTTGAATGAGCTTCTGGAGCGGTGGTAATCGTTTAATAATATAACCACTAGTCTTGACATCCTCCGTTTTTACTGATCGGGGATGGGGTCGTTAGTGGAATTTACCAACAGGTGTGCGAGACACCAATGTTTCTATAAATTGTGTTTTTGTCTTGTGATCAGTTGAAATTATTAACTATGGGATTTCGTGTCAAATTAAATATATTATTACTATACTATGTGTCTCTGTGAATTTGTTGCAAGGGAAAACAATTCTTCATAATTTGTCTTAGAAGTAGATTTATACAGCTTTTTATAGAGTAATTCCGATTCTTCGATAACATCAAAGTAACACCCAATGAATATTAGCAACATCCTGGAATTTTTGTTTAATTTGTCTTGTTTTACAGAAAAACTCATTCATTTGGTAAACTGACTGCAGACTCAATCACGTGTCCAGTGGATGATATAATGATGGTTGAGATAGCTGACAAGGATACAAATGGGAAGAAAATGAAAAGTGACATCCAACTATTATAACATTGTATTATCACATGTGTATCTTTAGTAAACTGCACGTCAATACTTGTTTTCTCTGGGCTGAGAGTCTTGAAATAGTGGTAAAATAATGGCCGAGATTTATGTTTTCTTGATGATTTAGAATTGGAATTGATA